AAGAGCGGGAAGAGCTGCAAAGATGGGCAGGATAACCAAGAGCACGAGGTAAATGTCATGAAGGCGCGTCATCTTCCCAAACGTGACGCGGTCTTCCCAGATAATGAACGGAAGGAAGCTGCCTCGTACGGAGCGCGGCCGAGTTCCTGGTGATGGGACGGGGAGGGGACCCGCGAGGAGTTCAGGAAACTATGAAGGCTACTTTGAGGGAGGACAAGAAATCTGTCGAGCTGCTTGCAACTCATGGGAAACGCTCTCAAGGTGTTTCTCGAATTAAAATAGACTGGGTGGACTTTGTGGCTTGCTCTGTGCTTTCAAGAACCCATCGCTTTTCTTCTTTTGCTTTTGTCTGCCTTCATCAGCTATTTGGGGCATAACTCTTATCCTTGCCTTAGCCTTCTAGTCAGGTAATGGGCTTGCTTTTTTAAACCTGCCTACTCAGATTTTTTCAACTGTTAGTTTATCTTCCTCTACAGTTTCCAAAAGCTAGCATCTAGTTCAAGAGAGCCCATCAGTAGCCTGTTTCAAGCTGGACTTGAATGTTTCTTGTTCGTAGCCTCCGCCTTTCTGTATCTAATGATTTTGCTTTTTATAACCACCTACTGAAGTGTTTCACTTCTGACTGACAATTCTGCTATTGCTGCTGCTTTGTTCCTTTTATCATCTTGCTGCCTCGCTCTCAGCTCTGCCCACCAGCTAGGTATGATGGTTTCAAAGGGGTCAATTAAATTGTTACTCACACTCCTTCCCACAGAACCTGAAAACATCCCATTAATAGAATCTCTCTGTTTGGAAATTCCAAACTCTGTAATGTTTTAGTGAGTTCTGAAATTCCTTAAAATACATTCACGCTAACCTGAACATATACTTTCACTGAAAAACCCCATGTCCTCCATGTTCCATGGGTGTGTTTGTTATGTCTTTGCTCAAAACATTTCTTTGCTGCATTATGATGTAAACAAACTGTTTGCATTTTTATCCTGCAGAGCAAGTGCTCTATTTGTAGGGAGCTTCATTGAGATTTTGTGTGTGTTGCAGATAGAAATATTGTATAAGGTGCATCTTACCAGTATTAGTTTATTCATAGCAAACCGCTAAGTAACCAAATCATAAATGCTCACTGATTAATTTGCATTAAGTTTTGAAACTTGGTCAAGGGAAATAGGCTTTAACAGTAGCTGAAGTTTCTCAATATGAAATAACATTTGCAATAGTTTGCAATAATTTCATTTTATAAATACTCAGTCTCTCCTGCTTGAGTTGCCTAGCTTCAACTTAATTGTATGACATTTAAAGAAACACTTTTTTTTTTACTAGGGTTGCACTTCATTAGCAATTATGACAAAAAAAGGTTTTTAAAATCAGTGTCTTCATAGTATATAACTGGACTAGTTTATCCAAGTTGCCCTTATAGAAGAGATTTCTAGGAACTTTTTAATTGACACTTGTTGCTGAGATCAGCTTTCATTTTTTTCCCAATTACTGTGAGCAAACTAACAGGTTCTCAAATTTTAAGTAAGAGGTGAGAGTTTCAAACACTGAATAGCTTGCATTTGTGGTTTGTTGTGATTTCTTACTGTATTTGCTAATCAAATTTCTGGGTTATTTCTATATGTGAAATTTCCTGCCAGGCAAACCTTGCTGAGGAAGAGCATGCTGTTCTGCTTCAGCATGTAGCTTTTTGTAAAGTAATATATGGAAGAGCAACCCAGACACCATCTATTTAGGTCCCTGAGGATGCCTTGCGGTACAGGAGGGGGAGAGTGGGATGGGAAAGGAACTGGAATACTGAAAAGGATGTTGTCTGAAAATGTGATGTGCTTTAGCATCTCCAACCAGCATGGTCTGACCAAAAGATCTTGAAGACATGAACACTTTAATGTATCAGCAACATTATTGACAGAATAATTGTATTATAGTATGATATAAACTTAACATTTTTAGAATAAATGTTTAGTATACATTTTGGTTACAATCTGCTATGTACATGCAGAGAAAATAGCTTACTGATCAAAGGCAGGTCCTGCCAGACCAACCTGATGGCCTTTTATGACCAGGTAACTAAATCCCTGGATGATGGTGTCGCCGTGGACATAGTCTTTCTGGACTTTAAGAAGGCTTTTGACACTGTCTCTCACCCCATTCTCATTAATAAATTGAGCAACTGTGGCATTGATGCCTACACAGTTGGATGGGTCAAAAATTGGCTGATGGGGCGCACCCAGAGAGTGGTTGTGGACAGGTTGTACTCGACCTGGTGGGATGTGAACAGTGGGGTCCCCCAGGGCTCGGTCCTGGGGCCTACACTGTTCAACATCTTCATCAGCGACTTGGACAAGGGGGTGGAAAACACGTTGTCCAAGTTTGCCGATGACACCAAGATGTAGGGAGAGGTTGGCACACTCAAAGGGAGAGAGAGGCTGCAATGAGACTTAGACAGATTACAGAAGTAGGCAGATGGTAATAGGTTGGGGTTCAATATAGATAAATGCAGGGTGCTACACCTGGGGAGAAGGAATCCACAGCATACATACAAGCTAGGGAGCCTCCCACCTTGTGAACACAGAGGCGGAAAGGTTCATCTTGGAGTCAGTGATGACTCCAAGATCCATGAGCCGCCAATGCCAGACCACAGCCAACAAAGCCAACCGCATCTTGTCGTGCATCCAAAGATGTATGTCAAGCCGGTCCAGAGAGGTGATACTCCCCCTCTACGCGACATTGGTCCGGCCTCAACTGGAGTACCGCGTCCAGTTCTGGGCACCACACTTTAAGAAAGATGTGGCCTGCCTTGAGAGGGTTCAGAGGAGGGCCACCCGCTTGGTTGGAGGGCAAAAGGGCAGGACCTATGAGGAGAGGCTGAGGGACCTGAACCTGTTCAGCCTCAGTAAGCGGAGGTTGAGGGGGGATTTGGTGGCTGCCTACAAACTCTTTAGGGGAGATCAGCAGCAAATAGGAAGAGTCCTATTCCCCCCAGCAGCACCTGGGGTGATGAGGAACAATGGCCAGAAGCTGCTGGAGAATAGGGTCAAGTTAGAGATTGGGAGGCACTATTTCACTGTAAGGGTAGCTAGGATCTGGAACCAACTTCCTAAGGAAGTGGTCCTCGCTCCTACCTTGGGTAAATTAAAAAAGAAGTTGGATGAACACCTGTCTGGGGTTGTGTGATCCCAGCGTGTGCTCCTGCCAGTGGCAGGGGGTTAGACTAGATGATCTATTCAGGTCGCTTCTGACCCCTAACTACTATGAAACTATGAAAATATTGAGGACCTGGGGGTTTCATGAGGTTATATTGATGTACAACTTTGTTGTGGATTCTAGTGAAGTTAGATGTTTTTGAAAAAAAAAATAGATGCATGCAAATTCTGTTCAGGAAAAACAGTCTTTAAAATACAGCCTACTTATGTATCTACCTCTGCCTAATAGATATTTGGGGTGTTTTTAAATCCTTCTGTAGGCTCTGATCAGGTCTGGAAATGTACTGGCATATGCTGTGGGCTTTTTTTTCCCCCAAGTGAATGCAATGCATGTGAAAAGTGCCAGATTGCAGGGACTAGAGACTGTCCTCTATTCAAAGAACAGGGACAACACAAGCTGCAGCATCCCACAAATTTATTATTTATAGATATTTCTATAGCACTTATCTGAATGCATGATACTTTGGACATCTATAGTATCTTTCGTCTATAGAGCTCAAATTGCTTTATCGGAATGCATTATTATTTTCAGTTTATAGTTGAGAAAACAGGAGTTAGCATAAAGAAATTTCTTTTTTTCTGTGTAGCAAGTTGCTGCCTAAAACAAGACTTCAACTTTGTTAATGTTTTGCCCAACTCATTACACAGCAGTGCCTGTCGAATATATTTCAGCCCTGATACAGGATTGCTTCTGTAGTATGATGGTGCGTCAGTTTGCAAGTCCATTTACCTGACCTCCATGTTGAAACCAACTTAGTGACTTCTTTGTTGTAGTTATTTACCAAACTGAAGTCATTGTACTTGGGTCCAGCAGTGTAACTAGCAGTAAGTGACCTGGAGCACAAGCCCCACATGCTGACTATGGAGTTGGGGCAGCACTTGTTGGAGGAGGTGAGACTCAGGGATGGCTTGAGGTTAGGTAAAAGGCAGGGTAGGTTTGTACCTTAGACTAAGTTGCAAATCTACTGCTTTCTATCTAGCTTCAGACAAATGTGGGTAGTTATCTCTCTCAACGGTGTGTGCCATTACTCCATGCCTCATTCAATATACAGTAAGGAGGTTGCATTAATACCCTGCCAACACTCCTCCCCGCCCCCCTGAGCAACGTGTCTCTCAGGGCTTTTGGGGCAGGGTCCAGGGTGCAAGCAGACCTTATGATTTATGCCTCTGCTTAGGCTACCAAGCATCTGATGGTAACTATGCATAACCTTTATTGACTTTAGCTGAAATAAAATCAGTTGCCAAAGTTCTTGACCCTTTTTACTTTAGAAAGACTATGGATTGTCTAGTTTTTCTTCATTTTGGATCTGTTGAAGGTTAGTTATGAAACGTGACTGTTCTAAGCTCTGGTAGTTAAATGTTGTGGTGCTGAATATATTTTCTTCTCGCGCTGTTTATTAGATGTTGATATCTAGCCCAAAGCAAAAATGTTAAGCTGTTTGAATAAAAATCTTTTACCTTATCATAGCATTAAATGCAAAAGCTTATTTAAAGAGCTTTGAGTTAAGAATATATCATCATTAATTGTGGGGAAAGTAATTTTTGAATCTTAAGTCATGCCTTAAATCCAGCAGTGAAGAGTCAGTATCAGGGCACCGACATTTCCTAAGTGGTGCTAAATAACTCCTGTCATCAGTAACATAGTAGAAAAGTACTATAGAATCTAGGCCTCTCATTTTGTATTAGGGTTGATAGATGGGATGTTTTTTATTTTTTTTAAACTGAAAGTTCAACACTTAAAATTTCAGTTGGAGTTCAGTTTGCAGCCAAGGCTGCAACTGAACTCCAACTAGCTTTGAGCATCAAGGACAATAAAAAGTCCTTTTTCAGATATGTGGGGAGCCGGACGAA